CTGCCTTCGGCTCAGGTCATGGTCCCAGGGTCCTGGGATCGAGCCCCGCATCGGGCTCCCTGCTCCGCGGGAGGCCTGCTTCTCCCTCTCCCACTTCCCCTGCTTGTGTTCCCTCTTTCGCTGTCTCTCTCTCTGTCAAAAAATAAATAAAATCTTAAAAGAAAAAAAAAAGAAGTCGGGCACTTAACGAACTGAGCCACCCAGGCGCCCCTAGGATGGTGTGCATTATCCACTTGGTGGCCCCCAAGCTCCCAAGATCTTCCAAGTCCCCAGGCCTGGTTTGGCCGAGCTGTGACCCATGATGATGCAGACAAGCAAAAGTTTAGGGTCTCTTCCCAAGAAGGAGACTAACAAAACAGGATGAGTCTTCATATGTCTTTGTCTCTAAAGAGGTGAGTCACATGTTGAGCATCCACTAGGTGCTGGTTATGTACTTCCCACAAGGACCCAAGGGTGAGTGGTACCACCCAAGTGTCACACTGAGGGAAGCTGAGACTCAGAAGAGGAGCAGGTCAGGGTCATACAGAGCTGGCATTTGGATTCAGTCTGTCTGACTCCAGATGCTCTTTGTACGACATAATACCACCTTCGGAAACAAGTGACAACAACATACCTGCATGCACACACACACACACACACACGAACACGAACACACACACACACACACACACGAGCAGCACTGAAGATAAAGAGAAGTAACTGGCATATTCCGTCCTTCCATGTTAGGGAACATTCATTAGTCTACTGCTCAAGTATTTGTAAACACTCAATAGCACCCAATCTCTCATCCCCAGCAGTTTCCTTTTGCTTGTTTTCTAGCAAGTGTATCATAGTGGAGGAAGATGAGACATTGAATCAAACTCCGAGACAAGCTGGTAAAGTTTTAACAGCTGGAGGCAACATGCTTTCCCACTGACAGAAATAATTTTTAAAAACCAAACCCAAAAAACAATAACAAAAAAGCCCCCTACACATAGTTTAGGCTAATCAGTCAAATAAACTAACTCCTAATTGTAGGGAGTGAATCAAAATCTTGCAGTGAGATTAAAAAATAGGTTTCACTAGGCATGGAATTTAGGCATAGGCCACAGAATATCACCATGATCAGTAGAAGTGATTTACATATATTCAATATGTATGTAGCCATATGGGCAGATTCTCTTCCTCCTGTTATCAGTATAGTTATATTTCCCCTATCTCAAAGGAGCCTAGCAAGGAACCTTGGTTCTCTGGAATAATGCCAAATGCCCAGAAGCAAGCTACGAAGGCCTCAAAGCAGCCAAAATGGATCATTACTTGAAAGCAATTTGCTCTTTTTCAAAAGGCAATTATTACAAGTTTAACCAACTGCCCAGCTCATGGCACACTAGAAGAGGCAGTAAGACAGGAACTCAGTTAAGACATGATAAATGGTGAGAGGTGGTCTCACAGAGGTCAGTTACTTTTGCATAGAGAACATGTTCCATGGCTTCAGGTTAGGCCCCTAGATCCAGACTAGTGGATTCCCAGATGCTTGCCCCTGAGAATAAGCAGTACTGGGCATTACTAGTAGATGGCTCTTCACACATGCATGTAAGTAAGCATCGGAAGATACAGATGCTCACTCTGACAGTACTGGGGGAGGGAGTAGGTGGGGAGGGTGTGCATCAGAAACAACTTCTTAGATGACAATATGGCCTTGAATAAAGATAGCTTGAGCTTGGGAATTAGACAGAACTGGCTTTGAGTTCCAACCAAGCTTTTGCCTATGGACCCTTGGGGACGTGACACAGCCTTTCTGAGCCTTAATTTCATTATTTATCAAACAGAAAGAACAGTATTTGTGCTTCATTAAGTCAATGTGAGGATTTAAAATACAGCTGACCCTTGAGCAACATGAGTGTTAGGGGCACTGACCCCCCCAGAGTTGAAAATCAAGGCATAACTTTGGACTCCCCCAAATTTTACTACTAATAGCCTACTGTTGACTAGAAGCCTTACTGATAACATAAACAGTTGATTAATACAGATTTTATGTGTTGGATGTATTATATACCGTAAAGTAAGCTAGAGAAAAGAAGATATATTTTCTAAAGATTTTATTTTTAAGTAATCTCTACACCCAATGTGGGGCTCGAACTGACAACCCCAAGATCAAGAGTCACATGCTCTACTGACTGAGCCAGCCAGGCGCCCGAAGAAAATATTATTAAGAAAATCATATAGGATGCCTGGGTGGCTCAGGCGGTTAAGCGTCTGCCCTTGGCTCAGGTCATGATCACAGGGTCCCAGGATCAAGTCCCATATCGGGCTCCTTGCCCTGCGGAGGGGCCTGCTTCTTCCTCTCCCTCTGCCTACCACTCTCCCTGCTTGTGTGGGCGCGCGCTCTCTCTCTCTGTCAAATAAATAAATAAAATATTTAAAAAGAAAAAAAAGAAAATCATATAGAAGAGAAAATACATTTACAGTACTGCTGTATTTATCGAAAACAATCCACAGATAGGTGGACCTGTGCAGTTCAACCCCATGTTGTTCCAGGGTCAACTGTAGTATACACACTGATCATGCATGGGACATAGAGCATGCACTCAACAAGTGGCAACTATTATTCAGCTGAGAAGTCTGTGAGCTCCCACAGGCCTCCCTTCCACTCAGCTCTGTGCCCACAGGGCTGAGCACCAGGCTTGGCCCATGACAGGTGTTTATTATTCTGAACTGAATTGCAGGGACAAGACATTTGCTGATTTCCTCCCTGCTTCCATATGGGAATTCAAATGTATCTCACATTTCCTTAGCTTCACAATAAATCTGTTCAGGAGAAAAAATATGTACGCCTTTTCATAGACAGTCACAGGAATTAAGAGTATTGTCTACAGTTACCCAGCAAATGGTGCCCACAGAACCAGCCCACCCCAGTCCACATGCTCCCTCCCCAGGTCCCATTCCTGTGGGTGGGGAGCAGATTGTGTGCATTTGGGAAATGCTTCCTACACTGGCAAATTGTTGGAGCCTTAGAGGATGGTAACTACCTAACAATCACTGTAGGAGTGAAAACCAGTTACTGAGAACCTATTTAATCCTCCTAGCAACCCTGTGAAATCAACCCCTTTCACAGATAGAAACCAAAACTATGGAGAGATTAGGGACCTACCTGCCTCACCCCACTACCAAGTGAAAGACTGCACTCCTTGCTCCCAGGTGCTGTTCTCCCCGCCCCATGGCATTCTGTACCCCCAGAGCAAGGCTGTGGCCCAAATGCCCAGACACCAGTGGGCTCTGTTTATGTGCCCTCAAGGCTCTCATCTGCTAGAAGAGCTCCCTATAAGCCACTGACAGTGAGTCTGTACTTTCTTGAGAAGGAAGAACATTTTGTCTTTTACCTCAATGCTGTTGATGAGCTCTAAATATCGGAGGTCTTGTACTCTGGTGAAGGCCTACAGGGGAAGAAATAAAAGAATGAAATCAGCTGCCTTCTGGGCTTCAAAAGTAGGTGATTGGCTGGGGGTGGGAAGTCAAGCTTTAGAAAGTGAGCCAGTAAGGAGGGAAAAGAAGCAAGCATTGATTAATTGCCATGTACTCAGGAGGGTTATACCACCCAGTGAGGCACGGCTTTATCCCTGGGATTAGTCCACACAAAGAACAGCAAAGAAGTCCTGGTTGCATCAATCACTTTGGGATTAGGTAAAACAAAACTATGATACTGCAGTCTGGGATGGTGTCCGCTTAGAGGAATCTCCATGCAAAAGAGAAGAACAGGGTGGTCTGATACTCTGAGGCAGTGTCATCGGAGTGGGAGTGGGGAAGATGTACTGACTGAGGAGAGACTGCTATACATCTCGGTGACTGGGATGGAAAGCAGGAGACAGCTATGCTTACCAACAGTGCATAAATACAAGGCACCCAGAGCCCACAGTACCAGCACAGAGGAAGAGGAGGAGGGGAAAGCTGAGAAGGAATAAAGATGGTTTCTGGAAGGGAGAGGGAGGTTAGGGAATAAATCACTCCAAGTCCCTGGAAGGCAAACTCTTACGTAAATCCTAAAAGTGCAGCTCTTGCCTTGGACTCACAGTAAAGCCAAAGACTTTAACCCATGGGCTGCTAGAAGTTTCTAGGCAGCCTTTCTCAGGAAGACTGGTGTTAGTTAAGTCTCCTTTGGTGCTTTCTGATTCTGCAAGGGGTTTAGAGGATTATAACCCACCATGTCAGGCTGATCTTCATGTGGCTTTGCTGTCAATGTTTCTACCAGGTGTGCTTCTTTACAATGTCCCATTTGAAATGGGCTGACACACATCTACAGGAAGCAGCAGGTCCAGGAGTCCTTGAATATGAAATGCAGAAGAACCACCCTGACCACTTGCAGCCTCCACTTCGCTGCATGACATCCTCCACCCCAAAAGACGTGGGGAAGCGAGAAAGTCATCTGGCCTCTGGCTGCCTCACAGATGACCACAATGTGACTTCATCTTTTCATCCTGCAGGGCCAGCCATCCTGTCGGGTACTGGGGATCCAGAGGTGAATATGACCTGTCCCCCTCCCCATTCAGGGGCCCATGTGCTCAAAGGGGTGGCAGGTAGATTAAACAGATCATTGAATCTCCATGAGCTAAAAGCTATACAAGTATGAACTAGATACCCTGAAGAACACCAATTCACTCTCTGAGCACAGGCAGTGGTAGAGGCAGGATTAAGAAGAGCACCACAGAGTAGGAACCTGGCAAATGGGTATTCCTGAAGAGGAATTCTTTGAAAGGGTAAGGTAGGCATCACATGAGTAAAGGTAGGCCAAGAGTACCTGTGTTCCTTGCTGGAGGTCTTATAAGCTATCTTCTAGACCTGGGCTTCCTTAAAGCAAAAGGAAAGGGGAAAACCTGGAATGTCTGGCAAAGGGGCAGGGAGGAAAGGAGCATTCTGGGTGTCAGTCCTAGCTCTGGAGATTTTCCACCTGAGGGGCTCTGAACCTACTTCTTCCCTGCCTCTAGGCTCTTAATGTCTGCCTTATGGAAAGGGGCAAATTAGCGATGCCTCCTGCAAGGTCTTTCTAGTTCTGCTCTGCTAGGATTCTAGGATTTGCCACTTTGAGAAATCTGTTTCTGAGTTCCTTCGACCCTCACACATTCTGCAGAGTCAGGGGTGCCCTGGTCGGAGTGGTCAGAGTCACGAGGCCGGTGAATAACCTCAGCAGAGGGAAGTGTGGGAACTGGGAAGCAGCTGCAGTTCTGCTCACCACAGAGGTCCCGGGTGCTAAGCAGCTCTCCCCTGCCATCTAGTGGGGACACCAGTTTATTGCTGGAACCACCCTCTACCTCCCGTGTGCCTGAGTGACTTGGCAAAGCAGAAAAACAAAGGCTGGGGATTCGGAATTTGGATAAAATGATCAAACCCTAGTCTATGGTAAAAATCTTGTGGCTATAATACAATAATTTCTATTCCCAGGGAGTGCTTGGGGAATACAGGCTGGGAGTTAGTGTTAAACAAAAGAAGGGTTATTCTAGTTTTGTTTTGATCCATTCAAATATTTGCTGAGTACCCAACCCCATGTTGGCTGAACTAAGCTGAGATAAGTGTTTATTTCTTGGGTGTGAGGAGATGACAGTCTCTGAGGAAGACTTTAAATTTCATTCCAGGCTGAAAACAAATAAAACACAGTCTAGGAATACTTTGTTATTCCTCATCCCTCCTGGCATTTTGTGGGGGAGGAGGCCTGCAGGAGAGGGAAGCTCCCTCCATGAGAATATTTCCTCCTGCCTCTGAATTCTTAAAATCCTCTCTATTACCAGTTTTCTGACCCTTAGCTGATATAAAAATATAATTAAATAACAGCAATTTTACTTGTTTTAAAAACAGCTAGCATTTGTATAACACTTGCTAGTTCTGGAAGCCCTTTTACAACGTGGTAGTTAAGCCTAATGACCCTGTGTCAGGAAGGCAGGGCAGTTAGCATTTTCACCATCCCCACTGCAGACATGGGAGGATGGAGTCTATGAGAGAAGCGGCTGGTATGGGGTCATCCAGCCTATATACAGCAGAGATGGTATCTGGCCTTGGTTCCTCTCTCCTTTCATGCCTACAAGTCTTGACCTAGCACAGGGCGGGCATCACATACCCGTGCAATTCCTTCCCTGCATGCTCAGTAATATGAGCAAATGAATATATGATTAATTGGCTATGGGAAGATAAAGAGGGAAGGGAGAAGTAGGGGAGAGAGAGTTGAAGGCCATTCCTTTCCTCCACCTCAGGTTCTAGATGAAAACCCAACTAAGAGCTGGGCTTTTTCTGATGCGTGGCAAGGGGTCAAACGTTGTCAGCCAGTTTCTGTAGTTTTAATATACTGGCCAGGAAATGACACCAGATTGAAGCCATCAAAATATGTGGGGAGTGACACTGCTGTCAGAATCAGAGAGCTCGACTATCTCTTTGACCATACCTAGCAGGGTACAAAGAAAAACAGCACTGTGTAAAAAATGGCTGATACCAATAAGTGCTCATACCAATAATAAAAGCTACCCTTGATTGCATCCCTATTACGTGCCATGCTTTCAGCTAGGTGCTTTACATAATCATAGCTAATAAGGGTGACAGCTAGAATCTATCAGAGGTTTCTCCTGTATCAGGCTTTACAGACATTACCACATTAGACCCTTAGAACTTTGTGAGGATGGGGCTAATCATCACCCCAATTTTATAAATGAGCAAACTTAGAAATGAGTTACCTGCCCAGACTCAGGAGGTAGCTGAGTTGAGATCTGAATCCAGGCCAGTCTATCTCCAGAGCTCACTACAGTATGTGTCTGCCTCTTCATATATCACCTGGAGTCCCTTTTGCCTCCTCAAGGGACCCTCCAAGGGCCAGATTCCAGCTTAGGCTGACTAGATGCTTACCTTCTTTGCTGTTTCAAACTCTAATCCTTCTAAAGCTTCCATAGCCAGCTCACGCCAGTCAGTGTCTGTCACTCCCAAGCAAGCAATCTGGTAGGCTTCTTTGAACATTTTCCTATCCAGGTACTGGTACATTGGAGCAGACTACAGGATTTCATCAAAAGGAAAGAAGATTGTTTTCAGAGCAATGGAAAGAATCAGATTCATACAAAGCCTGACTCCAGATGTGTGCCACTGACTTAATTACAAATGCCCACAGAGCAACACTATAAAGATTAATCAGTACTCTTCTCACCCCACACACTCCACATGCCTTCCAGTTGCCACCTTGCCACCCCCTTTCATAGCCAAAACATAGCATTCAGCAGCACAAACTTCTTGCCTGTCCTTCCTTCTACCACCAGCTTTCCCCACCTCCAGGTCTGCTTTACCACAAAATATCACCCTCGTCTAGAATGCCCTTGCTCCTCCTCACCCTCTGGAAAGTACCTACTTGGCTCTGAAGGCCCAGTTAAAGTATCACCTCTTCTGGAAAGTCTTCACTGACTCCTCAAGGAAAGGAGTCTGAACTTTCTCTGCCCTTTAACCAGATCTCAGTTGTGCTGTAATTAAAAGCCTGTCTCCCCCACAAGTCTGGGCATACCCTGAGAGTAGTGGTGGGGTTGTACTTACCTCCCCCAGCAGGCCCTCAGTCTATGTTTGCTGGAGGAAGGAACAACATTACTGTGGGGAGGGGGTCTGGGATGGCCTCCTATTAAGAGGGCTGCGAAACCATCTTACCCAAGAAACCTAAGTGATTTATCAGCTCCAGGTTACTCAGAGAGGCACATCTCTCTGAGTTCCCTGGAGCTGGGAACCTTCCTGCAGTCCCTCCTTCCAGATGGGGCTGCCTCACTGTGATACCTGAGTGGTTCCCAATAACTTCTCTTCTTAGGTTTACATACTGCTTTTGGATCTGTCCCAACAGGTGTGTGTTGCAGGTTATCAGTCCCGGATTATAGCCTGAAGACACAGAAGCAGCATAGGGAAGACGTGGGGCTGGAGCCTGGGGGTGAGCTGACTCCAGGTCCTGAGCACTTTCCTGGCTCTTGGGTATGGGATATGTGTATGTGCGCATACACGAGAACAAGTCTGAGCTGGGTCTGGCGTCCTGAATAACGAAAGGCTCTACCCTTGTTTTAGGCCAGTGTGCTGAAGGGAACTCAATCTCTCCCGGGCAGTAGAGATCAATCAGCCAGTGCTTCATGCTAATGGTTCCCAAATGTGAAGCTAGAAGTGCTGTTTTCTCCATTTGGGGCCTATACCTTTGAACTTCCCTGTCTCATTTTTTAGCTTTCAAGTTGAAGGATTTTTTTCTTCTTTCTTAAGCCATTCTGCCCTCTGACAGCAAGATGTGGGTGCTTCGGAGTGCTCATCTTTTCTCCTGTACCATTCCACCTACCCTTCCTCCCTTTAGTGGGGTAGCAGGGTATGGACAGGGGAGCAGCTGAGCCAGAACCCAGACCTAGCTCAGCCACATCCTAGCTGTGTGGTTTTTTTTAGGTAAACTGTTTAACTTCTCTTTAGATGTCCTGCCCAGCTCACAGGCTACCAGGAGCAAACAAGAGACGTGCTCAGTACCTCCACTGTATTTTCTCAGCACCAGCTCCTCGCCATCTCCCCAACTCTCCAGACTTGTTCCTACCCCCATCTTTCCCCCTGTCTGAAACAATCTCCCTGCTCCTCTCTGCCTCCCCAGACGTTCTGGGGCTCAGATCAAGTGTCACCACCTCCTGGAAGCTTTCTCAAACTCCCCATGCATAATGAGCTTTCCTTTCTAAACTCCTTTAGTGAGCACCCTCTGTTCCAATTCAGTTCTGTTTTGTAGTGTTTGCTGCTTTAAGATGGTTAATAACAATAGGAATTGGGCCAGACAAAACCTGAAAGATAGGTATATTTAACTAAACAGAAAAGAAGTGAGTCCCCAAAGAGTGAAAGGAGTTGCCCAAGATCACAGCTGGTTCAGGCGGCAGAGTCAGAACTCAAAGCCAGTGCTCTTTCCCCGAAACTGCACAACTTCTTGCCACGCTGAATGCCCCGTAAGGCTGGAACAGGGACTTGGACAGACACATCAGAATCGAGGATACGATGAATGGTTAACATTTGGGCTTGCTTGGGAGGCACAATCTGAGAGTGGGAGTTTTAAAAATATCCTAACTGAACAAATGCCCTCTGAGTTCTACTTTATCTCACTGTTGCATTCCAAGCATGAAGTCACCACCCGCCCCGAGAAGCCTGACTAGGGCTTGCCGCCCTACTTGGCAGCCCTGACAAACCAGTTCTTGCACAAGATGATGTAAATTTCGAAAGGAAACCAGAAATCCCCAGAGTGGGTCTGATGCTTTCTCCCTCCTCTCTAGGCCAAAACCACAGGATGACTGGAGGCAGAGGCAACAGATAAATAGCCTTTGTCTTGAGGCTGCCTCTCCTAACCCTTGGCAGTTCTGACCCTGCTGCATCAGCAGGATGGGCTTGGGGAAGCTATTGGGGGCGGGGGGTGGGGGGGGGAACTGGATGGGGAATCTGGCTTCTGAATTTTAAGGGCTTGGCAGAGGAAGCCCCAGGCCGCCCCTCTGGCTCCTCTTGGCCAGCCAAAGCCAGGGAGCAGCAAATTGCATTTATCTTTGAGGTCAGGATGGCAGTCTTGGGAGAAAAACTTTTAATCAGCATAGCCTGTTTGGCACGATTAAGGAAGATTGGGTTTCTGGTGGATGTGGTGCATGGGTTTGGGACGGGGAGCAGATAAGGACTACAAGGAAACAATCCAGTAAGGGCTGTTCTTGCCCCTCCTCCTGCTGCCACTTCCACCCACCTCTCTCCTTTCTTTCTCTTTCCTTTTCCTCAGGTCTGAATTCCACTAATATTTATTGAATAATTGCTCTGTGTCAGGCACTTATAATTTCTGCACAATGAGTAATAAGTACCATCAGCTTAGAGGAAGAAGCAGACCCCAGCCCCACCCTTTACAAGAAGCCAAGTCAGGCTTTCAGTGACTATGAAGGTGGGGAGATCCCGGCTGGGCTGAGCACACAGGATCTCACTGTCCTCCCAGCCCTTCGACCGTCCTCTGAAGCCCCTCAATAAAATGGTTCGATGCCCTCCACCCCCACCCAGAAAAAGGAAGCTGAAGGGCAATCTAGAAACATGTCTAAAAATCTGTCAAATGTACATGGCCTTTTATCCAACAATTTCACTTCCAGGAATTCACACCAAGAAGCTAAGGTGGGATAGGTACAAAGACTTGGCAAGAAAGATGCTATCTACAATAGCAAAAAAGCTGTAAGCAGCAAAAGTGTCCAACAGTAGGTACTGGTTGAGTAAGCTGTGGAACATCTATGTGATAGGATAAAAAGAAGTCATTAAAAACAATGTGGGGGGGCACCTGGGTGGTTCAGTCGGTTAAATGGCTGCCTTCGGCTCAGGTCATGATCCCAGGGTCCTGGGATCGAGCCCCGCGTCAGGCTCCATGTTCAGGGGGAAGCCTGCTTCTCCCTCTCCCACTACCCCTACTTGTGTTCTCTCTCTCGCTGTCTCTCTCTCTGTCAAATAAATAAATAAAATCTTTAAAAAAAAATAAAAACAATGTTGGGGTGGGGACAGCAGGGAGGCGGGTGTGGTTACAATAAAAGGGCAACCCAACATCAGAGATCTCATGGGTTGGTGGTTGTAGCGACATGAACCTACATAGGTGAAACATCTGTGCCGTAATTTTGCAAACTGTTACCAGTGGGGAAGCTGGACAAGTTGTACAAGGGCTCTCTATATGATTTCTTACAACTATAGGTCAATCTACAATCATCTTAGTATTTTTAAAATGCTAGAAAAGTACACTTATTGAGGTGGATCCGTGCTTCCAGTAGATTGCTGAGAGAAAAAGCCACTCTGCTAGCTGACAGCCAGTACTTCATACAAAGTGATGGGTCTGCAATATGTAAATGTTAGGTTAAATTGGAAGATGGCGATAAAGGACAGTGATTAAAAATCTCTCGTTTGTGGTCCACATTCAGTAAAGGAAGTATAGTAAATCTGAGGTTTCATTTATAGGAGCAATATTTATAGATAAGAGTCAAAAACAATATCTACAGTAGATTCCACTTTTGTTTAACATGTTCATATAAAATTGTATACTCATAATTGTATATTCTGCATATGTTACATATACATACAGAAAAGGCCTGGGTGGGTATGTCCTAAAATGTTTAAGACTGATTCCCCTTGAGGTTGGGATTCTGAGGGCTAAGCGTCTCCTTTGTGCTTGTCTCTACTTTATGGCAGTTCTACAGTGAGCATGATTCATTTGGGGAACAGACAGGCAGCTGGGACAGCTGGGATTAGGCCAGCCCTGACTTGGGTTGCCAATCTCTGCCCTCCCATCTGTGTTTCTGCCCTCTCCTGTTTGTGGCTCCAGGCCCCCATTTCTGTTCTGGCCTCCTAGTTTGAGGGACTTGTGCAGATAGTCCCATGCTCCCTTCTTGGCTCACAAGACCTCAGGCCCCCTCCCCATCCCACCCATATTCTCTTTTCTCTCACACCATCCCCCCTCCTGCATCTGTGCATACACACTGCTGCACTCCCAGCTTTGCTGGCTTACTCCACTCTGCCCCATGCACGGCCCTCAGTGAAACACACTCTGTCTGAAGACAGACAACCCTGAATACCCTCCCTGTCCCAACCAGGAAAGGGGGATCAGAAAGAAATGGAGGCTCAGTGAGGTGGAGCTGTTTGCCCAAAGACACACAGGTTGTACAGGGTGGAGGCAGGCTTTCAGGTTCTAGTCCAGAATACCTTCCATGACATCATAGCTGCAATTCATCTCTCTTCCCTCTCCCTCCCCATCCATCCCCCAACCCAATGCATCAGTGAGGGGCCTGGCTTTCCTGGTCTTGCCCTGCCACTCATTGCTGAGAGCTGACAAGCGCCCCGGTTACCTGTGGCACCTCCACAGCTGACATGGAGAAGACATGGAGGCAGAAGATCTTGGAGCCATTGTAGCCCACCACAAAGCCCTGTAGCTTCTGCTGGTGCACAGGGAAGGTGCTGGCTTTGATGTTGAGGTAGCCTCCTCCCGAGAAGCAGAGCATGTCCTCACACTGGGTATTCCAGGCCACGCTGTTGGCATTTGGTTCCTGAGGGACAGGGATAGTGAGGACCTTGTGACAACCACCCTGGCCTTTGGTACCATTCCTGCACTCAGTCAAGCATTCTTTTTAAAGTCTGAATCACACTAAATTGCTAACAGTGGGATGGGGGGAAAACCAGGAAAAGTGAACCAGAAGAAAAGGATAGAAGCATAGAGGCAAAATCCTCTATGTACTTGTTTATGTTAGAACTATTTTTAATAAGCAAGCATTACTTTTGAAAAAAAATTATTATCCCAAATATTAATCATTACACAGTGAGAAAATGAGCAAAGTGGCTTTACTTCTGTTAGAAAATGGGAATACATAGCTATGTATAGAAGATTTAAAGGGATCTGTTCCAAAAAATTAACAGTGATTGTTTCAGGGTGGGTGGAATTGTGGGTGCTTTTTATTCTCTATGCTTTTTGTTTGCCTGAAATTTCTTTTGGTCATGAACATCCGTTGTTTTTTTATAATAAGAAAAAAGTGTTATTTTTATATTAGAAAATAATATATTGTCTCTGCATTTAAAATTCTCACACTGGAGAAATACAGTCACCCTGGGATGCACTCCCTTCCCCCTACCTCCTCTCAAAGTTTTCTGCTTAGCTCTGGAGCCCCAGGGACCAGCAGATGTTCATACCTTTCTACCTAGAATCTTCTACAATGTCTGAATCTTTTATAATGAGCATGGATTACTTCTATAATGAGAAAAAACAATATAGCTGTTTTCATTTGCAGGGGGCAGGGGCAGCAGAGAGAAGAAAAAAGACAGCTGGGAATGTTTATGTCTCCTGGCAAAGTCTGAGAATTACCTTCCCTAGCCTACTACAGAACCCTCAGTGGAGATGGGGAAGGACACATGCCCTTCCATTCCTGTATGGTTCTAGGCTCAGGCACAGATTCACAACCGGGGGCCTGCTAACCTACCTACAGGAGGTGGTTTTGAGGTTGCGGAGAGAAGTTAACAGTTAGGGCCCTGTTTTATACCAGGCACTGAGCTAGGTACTGTGGTATCTTGTTTAGTCCTATAGCAATTCTGTGAGGGGGCATTTACTAGTTCCATTTCAGAGGTAAGGAGAAGTTTAGGCTCAGAGAACTGTACTGACTTGCTGGATATCACACAGTAAGTGGTGAGGGCAGGACTGGAGCCCAGGTCTGTCTAAAGATAAAACCTGTGCTCTTTTTTCCCCCTTAATCACTCTGCCTTGATTTATTAGAGTCAGCTCAGGCTAGCAGTAGCCAGGTAGCCCCTTCCAACTGAGGCAGCTCCCTACACTCCAGCATCCCTCTGCCCTGCTAATTCTGCTCCCAATGCCCTGAGAAGGGCATCTCGATCTGCAGATTAATACTGGGACACCTGTTGTGGCCAAGGAAGCCAGACAGGGGAGGTTTCAGCTTCAGGGGGGAGCTTGCTTCAGGCAAATAGGCCCTGACCTCTTACAAAGTCCTAAAGAGGCAAAGAGTGGCGCTGAGTATGGCAGAAAGCCAGCCAGGAGCTGAGCATGAAGCCCTTGGGATTTCTTCTCCAGTGACACACTTCTACCAGCCATAGGACCAAATGGTATGTAAACAATGCTTATCTCCTAAACAGTTCACATTTTGTTGGCTCTGATAGCATCCTTGTGAAATAGCTAGAAGGTTATCATCCTTTCCCTTCTTTCAGATGACAAAACTAGTCCTGTGTCTTTACTGTGTCTTAGGTCACTTATAGATACAGCAAACCTCTAATTGGCAAGAAGCACTTTTGCAAAAGAATCATCCTCACATTAACCAATGCACTGAGAGCCTATCAAGTGTCCCACTTAAATTTATTATTATTCAGGCGCCTGGGTGGCTCAGTTGGTTAAGCGACTGCCTTCGGCTCAGGTCATGATCCTGGGGTCCTGGAATCAAGCCCCATGTCAGGCTCCCCGCTCAGCAGGGAGTCTACTTCTCCCTCTGGCCTTCCCCACCCCGTCATGCTCTCTCTCTCATTCTCTCTCTCAAATAAATAAAATCTTAAAAAAAAAATGTATTATTATTCATTTACTATTCACAGAAAGAAAGGTATTACTTGCCCATCTTACCTGTGAGGAAAGCAAAGTTCAAAGCGGCTTACCCAATTCCTGCAGCTCATGTGTGGGAGCAGTGGGCTGTGCCCTGGGGCCTCTTGAGCTCTGTGCCCCTGCTCAAAGCCTACACCCCTACACATCATTGCTCCTCCCGGAGACCTGCCTGGGAACCAGGGGGTGAGAACCTCCTGCAGGGACTGGGAAATAGAGAAGGAGTCAAAGGACCATGTCCTAGAAATTCTCTGGAATTTCACCTGAAAAAGCAGCTCCTTGGTGTGGATGTCATACACCAGACACGTGTCGTTTTCATCCACCACAGCCAACTTGTTACGGGAAGCACTCATGTCCAAGCAGCGCACGGCTGTGGCCTGCTTCAGCAGGACAATGGCAAAGAGATTGTCCACAAAGATCTTTAGGATCTGGTGAAATTTCAGAGAAAAAAGTGTGAATCACCATGGCAACAAGACCCCGGAACTGCGCCAGGCTGTTGGAATCTATGTGTTCTACAAGAACAACTCCCACTAACTTCAACAGAGGTTCCATGCAGAGAAAAGGACTTATCAAAAGAACAGGAGTGGGGGCTTATCCTTAGGAGACCAGAAGTGTGGTTCATCAGAGGTTGACAAAGTAATTATGGGCCCAAGACATGACAAATTCACTTAAATGTCTGTTTAACTGGGGATTTGTTAACATTACCCAAACTGCAGGATTAGGAGACACCATCTAGCGAGATCTGAGTCACGAACTAACACAGGAAGAAGCTACTTTAAACACTGACAAGACATTGGGTATAACCACAGCAAAATAATGATGATGATGAGAAGGATGATGACAGCTATCAGTTATTGACTATTTCTGACAGCCCTCTGAAACATGAGGCATTATCCTCATTTGTAAAACCTGAGCCTCAGAGAGGTAAAGTGACCTGCCCAGGGTCACACAGCTAGTGAGTAGTGAAGCACGAACGTGACCCCAGGTCGACCTGCCCCCAAAGTCCCATGTTCTCAGGCCTCACACTGGAAGTGACAGCTGACCATGAGAAAGATTCAGACTTTCCATCCCTTTGGTATTGCTACCCTGCAGCCCCCACTAATTTCATACTCCATGACTTCTGTCCCCAGGAAAGGCCTGACAAGCTTTAGCCACAAGCCATCTGCTAGACAGCTTGGCTCTCAGGCTAACGCAGTTATATTTTCACTTTCAAATTTCCATGTAGCCCACTTAGAACTTTTCTTATTTTGAGCAAAGAACACACACACAAATCTGTTTAATTGTATAACCTAGATTTTCCACATCTATATGAGCAAAGGGCCCATTTTTCTTATAACACCTAGTAATAGCCTGAGGACCAGCACCCTCTAAAACACAAGCTAGAACACACTGCCTTAATCCATTCACTGCCCTAATAGGGATCTGACCTAAGAATGAGCTCTGCCTTCCTCTCTAGCAAGCCCGTGAAACTGTACCTCTAACAAATCTCCCATCTTCTGGGTGCCCTTAAACCCACTAATCCACTCTACAGGCAGCCCAGAAGCCACAGTGCCAACCCTGCTAGAATGCAGCACACTCTAAGTCTAAGGGCCACTGCATCTTTGGCCTGAAGCTGTCCTCAAAAAATGAAACTCTGGGTTGCCCTCCAATGTGTCTATGGTGAATGTGGGGTGGGGGGAGGCCTTTTCCCTGCCCCAGGGAAACCATCTTAGGGTCATAATGAGTCTGGTCCCTATGGTCTGCATACAGATAATCAGCCTGATGGGAGACACATGAGAGCACTCACCTGTCCATTCTTCAGGCCTACTAACAGACCTTCCCTTCCTGGAGGGCCACCGATCACCTTGATGTAGCGAATGAGAGACTCCATCTGCCACTCCCGCTCCTTCACTCCACTGAAGGACAAGCACTGTAGCCGTTTCTCCTAGAAAGCAAACCCAGCTCTGCATGGATATTTGACAGAGTAAGTGTTCCCAGCCCTCCCAAGGAGGTCTTCCTGCATGTGAGGGATGAAAAATACCTACACATTCAGTGTCTATTGAACCCCATCTAGTCCCCATGATTGGCATTGTTCATTAATCCTTCATGTAAGCCTTCACCACAGAGCCCAGCTCAGCCTCACATCTTCTGTGCAGACCTCTGGGAAGCCACAGAGGCAGCATCCAAAAGTACACTTTTTTGTCACATCTGTAACTTGTGGCACCTCTAAACTGCTTGAAGTTCTTGACTTTTAGAGAGATTTTATTTGTATTTTACATACAGTGATTTTCTAAAGGATTTCTGCCACTTTATCACTTCTAACAGGCCTACTTTTATGAAACTAAATCCACCTCTACTTCCAAGAAAGATGCCGGGCTGGCCTTCCCTCAAAGTCTTTCCAAACTTCTCTTGGCATTGCCCTAGACATTTTGTAGAAAGCTCTCAGTTGAGAAATTTTTTCTGTGAAAAAATCTTTCAGCAAGTAAAACTTCCTTTACTATTTTTGAGTTGATATTATACATTTTTTGTTGTTTAACAGAAAGATAATATAAATTTTTATGTGTATATGTTTACCAAAAAAAAAAATCGCTCTTCATTTCTATCAGTGTATGCTTTAAGTCATTAAAACATGTATAATCCTAGGATAACAAAGTGCTTTGCAATACAAAAAGGTATTCTCCAGGTTATGGCCCATGACTTTCTAGTAGAGTCTAACTCCTCTAGATGTCAATAAAATTAAAGCAATGAACAGCTACTGAGTTTGATGGAAAGGGACTTGTTTCTTAGTGTTCAATTTTGAAACCATGATTTGGGTACCCTATCCTTGGAGGAAACATGAAGAGGATTCAGCCCCATCCCTCCAACCTGCTGCGCACCTGGCAGAGGATGATGTGATCAGCACACACCACCAGGAGGTTGCATTCAAACTTCTTGACAATCTTCTCCTTCACCCGGTAATGCATATCTGACGAGTCGTCTGAATACAACTCATAGATGAGGATTTTCTCTGGCAGTTGGATAGCTAATCGATTTTTGTAGATGGCAATTTTCTTGACAAGCTCTTTGCATTTAATCCGAACTGTCAAAGGAAAAGAAATCCAGCTCTAGCAAGAGATTGTTAAGTAAGGTAGAAGGCAGAAAAATTGAAAGCTATCATTTACTTAATGTTACTGGCAATTAAGGGAGACACTCTCATCAAAAAATCTTTACAGAGTGTCTAATATGTGAATCAGCTCTACTAAACACTGGGATCTAAAATCATATACAATCTTTGTGGTCCAAAGTTTACAACTGAGTATGTAAAGTAAAATTCTTAGTGATACCCTCACTTGCTGAATATAAGTTTAAACTCCTGTGCACAACATTAATGTATTGCCCCTAATGATCAGAAGGCCATCTGGATGACTATCCATGCCTCTAGCTACTCTCCACTCACCACCGTCAACAATAGAGAACTGCATGTAGTTTCTGGTATATACTAGGCTCTCACACTCTAACTGCAGACCAGATGGAGAAAATGTCGCCAGAAAGGAAGCTGGGGAGCTGCCCAAGTGGCTATACCCTCACCAGCACAACTGGCATCTTCAGCCAGAGGTGCTCCCGGATGGGAACCAAAGGATGCCAGCTGAATCTGTAAGACAACCCTCAATGTGTATCCCTACGCATAGGCACTGGGCAGGGTGCTATGGCCAGCACAGCTGTATATGACTACACTTGAAATAAGTGGATCCTTAGCCCATTTAACCAGCATGGCGACTTGAGTGGACAGTGGATGAAACTGAGGTTCAGACTGACTGTGCTAGGCCTGGAACTTGGATCTTCTGACTGAGCCTGTGGTGACCCACTGCCCCTGCTTACCCTTGGGTAAGGACCCATCAGGAGGCAAGTGGAGATGAGGCTGAGAGAGAAGGCCTCTAGTATATCCATACCAGAGAGGATATAGGTCCACAAAGACCCATGCAGTTCAGCCACCCTGGCTCTGACATGCCATACATTAACCTCCCTTAGTCGGAGTCCATGTTCCCCTTGGAATTAGCAGCAGCAAAATTATGTTAAGTCTGTGCCTCCCCTCTTTTTTTTTGAGAGGGTTTATTGCTCTCATTAGATCCTCAAAGACATCTACATTCTCCCCTTACCCTCCAAAAAAAAGAGGCAAGAACCAGTGGTCCAACGTGTTTCCAAAAGACTGAGGAGGAACATTCCCTATCATTTCACTTGCCCTATCAGCAGCCCTCTCAACCTACCCCTCTTCCCAAAGGCTGGAGGGCAGAGGGGCCATACCTGCCTTTTACCTTTCTGCTCAGTGATCAGGTGCTGCACGATGACATCAGTCATGCTATCCCTGTAGGCATACCGGTCCTTGTAGAGCCCATGGACAGTACTGAAAATAAGCTGGTAGAAGGAAATGGTGCCATCTTGGCAGCCTACCACCTGCAGGGAAAGAGAGTTGTTAATTCCCAGCTGTCTGTGGAGAAAGAGTCTGCCCTCCCAGTTGTCAGGAACAAATGTCAATGACCTGACTGGCTACACATGGCTGATGTCTGTGCCTGCTCAGGCAATGGCCCAACAGAATGAACTTCCTCTTCTTACCACATAGTTGGAGTCAGGTTTCACTTTACACGTCCACACCCAGGAGTTCTGCTCCCCAACAGTCCCAAGCCGCACTCCATCCTTGGTGAAAAGGGATACTTGCTTGTCTGACCCTCCCAGCAAAATGTACTCCCCTTTAGTAAAGTAGCTGAGGCAGCAGGGGTCAAAGTTCAGTGACCGATCCTTCCCAATCTGAGGAAAGAAAACACACAGCAAGGGAAAAACCACTAGTGAATCCACAGTAGTCACAACACAATTTAGGGCTTTTCCTACCAACTTTAATGAGGGGAGTCAAGAAGACAAGGGCAAGCTGGCCACCGTTACCCCCTGTGGGATTCCATCACGAACGCAGGCTAGTCTCCCTGGAGCACCCTACTCCTCCCCTCCACATAGTTGAATCCTCCACTGCTAGGGTGGGCAGCAATCCGCCCAGTCCCCACTAGGTGCTCGAGGTATGTGTCTTAGCAACTCAACCAATCCAGACCCAGGGATTGGTCTTTCTCCCATAGGCTCTCCTCCACACACAGCCCTTGCAAGGGTTCAATGGTTCCCCTCAGCTTCTTTCTTCTTTTTTTTTTTTTTAAAGTATTTCATAAAGCCAAATATATCCAATTTAAAAAATTGTCCTCTATTCTGAAACTACAACCATCCTACTTTTCTTTATAATAACCTTATTGAGGTATAATTCACATATCATACAATTCACCCATTTAAAGTATATAATTAATTGTGCAAACATCATCACTAATTCAGAACATTTCTATCACCCCAAAAAGAAACCACATACCTGTTAGCTGTCCATCCCAATTCTCCTCTCTTTCCCTCCCCTGGCAACCACTAATTTACTTTCTCTGTCTATAGATTTGCTTACTTTAGAGATTTCACATAAATGGGGTCACACAATTTGTGGCCTTTTGGGACCAATTCACCCACATTGGAGCATATATCAGTACTTCACTCCTTTCCATTGCTGAATAATATTCCATTACATAGATCTACCACCTTTTATTATCCATTCATCAGTTGATGGCCATGCCTACTTTTTTGATGATTACGAATAATACCGCTATGGATATATGTGTACAAGTTTTTATGTGAACATATTTTCATCTCTCTTGGATATATATACCTAGGAGTGGAATTGCTGGATCTCTAGTAACTTTATGTTTAACCTTTTGAGGAACTGCCAGATTTTTTCAAAGTGACTGTACCATTTTATTTGTACCAGTAGTATATAAGGGTTCCAATTTCTCCATCCAAGTGGGTATGATTTTGATTTGCTTTGCATTTCCCTGGTATCCAATAATGTTGAGGATCTTTTTATGTGCTTATTGGCCACATGTATATCTTGTTTGGAGAAAAGTCTATTCAGATCTTTTCTCCAATTTTTAATTGGGTTGTCTTTTTATTATTGAGTTGTAAGAGTTCTTTATATATTCCAGATATATGTCCCTTATCAGATATATGATTTGTAAAAATTTCTCCAATTCTGTGAGTTGTCTTTTCAGTTTTGGTAGTCTCCCCTTAGCTGTTATGGTGACGGTCAAGCTCCTGAGCTCAGCTCCCAAGAGCCTTTTCTCAGCCAAAATGAACATCTTATAATTTGCCAAGCAGACCATGCTCTTTCAGGCCTTCATGTCCTCACAAGTGCTATTCTCCATACCACCCCAGCCCTGGCCAGGAGTGTCCTCTCCCTCTCTCTCTACTAGGTGTCAACTCCTACAGAAAACATCCCCCAATCTCTCCGCCCCACCCAAGGCCTGATTTAGTGCCCCTTCCTCTGTGCTCCCATGGCCCTGTGCTCACTTCCCCCACAGCATTTCTCTCACTGCTCTCTTAATTAACAGGGCTAATTTGATGTCCCCCACTCCCCTTACCACCCATTAAAGTCCAAGCTCCTTATTGTCACTGGAGTTTTTGCTGCCCCTGAGGGAACTTTTTGTGAATAAAAAGAGTATTTATGATTGCCATTATTAAACTATTAGATTATTAAAGAAATAATTCTAAAAACCTGGTTTCTCAATAAATTTTTAAGTTCAATTTATATTTTCCTATTTATTAGTATAACAAAAGTAAACAACTAATTGAAAAGAGGCCTTTGATTATCATTTACTGAGTTAAATTTTGAACAGATTTTAAAATCCCTTAGTGTTGGGACACCTCAATTGCACAGTCGATTAAGTGTCTGACTCTTGGTTTCAGCTCAGGTCTGATCTCAGGGTCACTGGGCTCCACACTCAGCCTGGAGTCTGCTTGGGTTTCTCTTTCCCTCCCTCTGACCCTACCCACCCACCTCATGCTCACTCACTCTCTCTCTCAAATAAAGAAATACATCTTTAAAAAAAAAAAAAAGAAGAAAATCCCTTAGTGTCATTTACAACTTAGTTGACTCCCTTAAACTAATTTAAATTGCAATTATTCATTTCATATGTTCAATTTTCCCTTATAAGAATTTCAAATGCCTGGGGCATCCGAGTGGCTCAGTCAGTTAAGTGTCTGTCTTCGGCTCAGGTCATGATCTCGGGGTCCTGGGATTGAGTCCCGCATCGGGCTCCCTGCTCACTGGGGAGCATGCTTCTCCCTCTCCCTCTGCCTCTCCCCCCTGCTCGTGCACGAGCACTCTCTCCCTCAAATAAATGAATAAAATCTTAAAAAAAAAAAAAAGAATTTCAAATGTCTAACAACCAAATTTCCCCTAGTACTTATATAATGATAGTAAACCTAGTAAGAAAACTAAAAAAATCTTTTTTTTTTAAGATTTTATTTATTTTTGCGAGAGAGAGAGAGGAGAGCACAAGCAGGGGGAGAGGGGCAGAGCGAGAAGCAGACTCCCCGCTGAGCAGGGAGCCCGATGTGGGACCCGATCCCAGGACCCTGAGATTGTGACCTGAGCCAAAGGCAGACACTTAACTGACTGAGCCACCCAGGTGCCTGAAAGTTAAAAAAAATCTTATGAGTCATGACATGGAAGGCTTGCAGCTTCTGGTAATGGCTCACTAGTTCCCATTGGGCCAACTCTCCTGCAGGTAACAACTATGAACTCTGGACCAACTATAAATTACAACCACGTGAAGGCACTACAGAGCAACCAGAAGCAGACAAAAACTGAAGACACATGGGTATTTGGAAGAAAGGACTGCACTACGTGAGTTTCTCACTTTTTTAATGGCTTTTTGCCTAAGGGCAGGCCCTATCAGCACCCTGCTGGATGAGCACAGAATTTGGAGTGGCTATAACAGCTTAAAAATGAGGGGAAATCCCAGAAAAGAGACAGATGAGAGAGAGGAGGGAGAGCCAAAATTCTGCACATACACTCTGTTGAATATCTGGAACTCCTTGAACTACACACATGTGAGGCAGATGCTAAGCAGCCTAGCAAGGCTAAAAAACTCAATAGAGACTTCAGCTGCTGCTTACAGTGGAAAGATGGGACTTTGAATGTTGAATCCAGCAAAGTTAACTACTTGTTTTTAAAAAACCCAACTATAGGGATGCCTGGGTGGCTTAGTCGGTTAAGCGTCTGCCTTCAGCTCAGGTCACGATCTTGGGGTCTTGGGATCAAGCCCTGCATCAGGCTCTCTGCCTGATCATTATCATACTCAGTGGGGAGTATGCTTCTCCCTCTCCCTCTGTGATCTCTCTTGCTCTTGCTCTCTCTCAAATAAATAAAATCTTAAAAAAATAAATTAATTAAAAACCCTAATACAGTGCTCCTTCAGCTGCACAAATACTAAAATTGGAACACTATAGAGAAGATCAGCATGGCCCCTGTGCAAAAATGACATACAAATTCATGAAGCGTTCCATATTAAAAACAAAAACAAAAACAACTACACAGTAATCCTCAGAGGAACATGACAGAAATGAATCCCTATGATGCATCATTTACACTGTCCCGAATATAACCCAAAATTCCAAAAAGCAGAAAAATGTGAACCATATTCAAGAGAAAAGACAATTAGTAGATATTGACCCCAAGATAATTCAGATACGAATTAGCAGATGAAATTTTAAAACAGCTATTATAACTATGATCAAGGATATAAAGGAAAATATTCCTATAATGAATGGACAAATAGTAAAAAAGAACTAAATGGCAATCTAGAACTGAAAAATGCAATAAGTAAAACAAAAATTCATTGGATGGGCTTAACAGAAATATTACAGATGACAGAAGAGTCAATGAAGTTGAAGATTGAGCAACAGATCAGAGCAGGGGGGAAAAAAGACTTAAGAAATGACCAGGGCCTCAGTGACCTGGAGGACAATATCAAAAGGTCTAACGTGTAATTGGAGACACAGAAGAAAAGGAGAGAATGAAGAAGAAAAATTATTTGAAGAAATAACAAAAAATTATTCCACATTTGGTGGAAGAATAAAGACATAAGTATATAGATTCAAGAAGATCAGTAACTATCCCCCACCCCCACAAGCCAGAAAATATAATGAATCTCTTTAACATTCCAATATTACTTAGGTACTTAAAACTAAAAATTTCTTATACCTTTCAATTTAAAATTGGATGTATAAAATTGATTACTCAATTACAACTTTTAAATGGTCATCACAAGACAGATCTGATAGATATTCTAATATGGATTCTAGCATCAGTCTGCCTGGGTTCCAAACCAGACTTGGCCACTATTACCTGTATGGCTTTGGGCGGTTATTGCCCTGTACCTAATTTTCTAACATGTAAAGTGGTGATAATAATACATACCTCACAGAGTTGTTACAAAGATTAAGAGTTAACCTTGTAAAGAGTTTATACAATGCCTAAAATTCAATAAATGGTAGCTATTATTATCATTAATCCAGATACCCTTAAACATTACAAACACTTAAAATGTCAAAAATACACAAATTATATCTAACACAAAAGTATAGGCTTGATTTACTTCATCATCCTATATTTAATTCTAAATCTTCCCAGATTTAAGACACCCAACTAAGGAAACAATTTTACTGTCCCAAGCCAGTTGGATTATCTCAGCAGAGTGAGGTTGCTTATCATTCAAAAACTCTGGGCCACAGCATGAGCTCTAGTGCTACATACATGCAAGATATTGCCCATGGCCCTGACCACCAAGTCAGGTTCTTTTTTATTTTCACTATAGCAACAAGAGTCCATTCCTTCCCGGTGTAGTGTGGTTATTTGTTCCCAAGAACTTCTAATACCCATGCCCAGTGCCTTGTACACAATAGATATGCCAATAAATATTTGTTGAATAATGATATACACACATTAAGTGAATGAACAGATAGGCCAGGGCTAGATGCAAGATAATTAGAAGTGAGGGTTTGGGGAAATCAGCCAAGGCAAACTCAGAAGACACTTATCTTTTCTCTACTCAGCTACAAAAAAAAGAGACCAATGGTAAGATGAGGTAGAAAAGAAATGGCCTCAAAGCTGGGCTACACATAACTGAAACCCCTCCTTTCTAGCAGGACATGTTTTGAGGAATAAGGATATTGTTAAACAAAGGCTCCACTGAACAGGCTGTATTTCTCACCTTCTTGGCTGTGGTACTTGAGCCATCCATACCACCTTCACTCTAATCCTTGGTGTCTCCAGCCTTACAGGTTTTCCTACCACCAGGTTCTATTTTAATCCACCCTCCACAGAAACAAGGAATTCTTCTGAAACAGGAATCTGATCAAGTCACTCCCTACCTAAATTGATGGCTCCTAAATACTTATAGTATATGAAGTTCAAACTCCTAATCCACATGACTCAGGTCTTTTAGAATCATGTCCCCATGGGGCGCCTGGGTGGCTCAGTCGTTAAGCGTCTGCCTTCGGCTCAGGTCATGATCCCAGGGTCCTGGGATCGAGCCCTGCATTGGGCTCCCTGCTCCGCGGGAAGCCTGCTTCTCCCTCTCCCAC